TGGTTTTGCAAAAGGTGTCCCACTTCTCCTTGCGCCTTGAGAAAACTTGGCATGTAAGAACCAACCCTTCTAATATGACTCACCCCAATTGAAAGAACAAAAGAGAAACTCTTTTCCTAGTTCATTATTGACTTTCTCAGTGAGGATAATATTTACAAAACACTTATTTTGTTCTAAGATTTCAAACAAAACTATTTGCAGAAAACATTTTACATTGTTATTTGGATGAAGGAAAGAAAAAAAGAAAGAATGAACTTCATGGTTTACCTGGCTAATGGTAGTCAGGAAGTTTGGGTTTACTCCCCAGTTCTCATTGTCAAATATTTGCAATGAATTTTAAAATAGATAAAATTCCCATAGACTTACTGAATGAATTCATGTTCAAGAATCATGGGAGGAAAAAGGAGTTAGGACTTTTTAGATAAACCCACCAGTGACAAACTTTTCTCAGCTGTGTTCTACAGACAGCAAACTCTATTCCCTTTTGATTTTATACAGAACTTTAATTCCCAGCATATCGTGTGAGTTCAGAATCCAGGCACAAATGCCAGCAGAAATCAGGAGGGAGGCAGATGTCATTCCCATCTACATGGGACGTCTTTCACACTGGGAAAGTGATCAACGGACCCCAACCCACGCTACTGCAAAAACATCCTCCTTTATCTTCTCCTCACATCTTTAGTGTCAGGACAGGGACTCATCATGCTGAGAGCCCAGTGCTCTTCCACTCTGACATGGACGCTGTCCTGCAAAATGTCCTCCTCCAGAGCAACCTGACCGGCCTCTTTGCTTGAAGTGTCTTGTTCAGTCTATAGCCTCTCACTGTGTTCCCATAGCGCCCAATTTAACCAATCAAAACAACATGCCTTTGAGCACACATAATAGGCTAACTTATAACTACAATTGCCTACAGTATAACCACTGTGATATTAAATCTGTAATTAAGCAGTTTTAATAAAATTAAATGCATCCATTTTCAGAAACAAATCCAGTGCTGGAGGAGGAAGAGAAGAGGGAGATCGGAATTAGTATTATCCTTTTCTGATATCTCTTTATTTTATAAAATATTGCACACATGAGTTACACAGGTTGGGATAATGAGAAATGTACGTCTCTGCTTGGGATGTCTTTCAAAGCCATCATTCATGAAATGTTTAACAAACAATCATAGAATAATAATTATTATATAGCCTTGGGAGAAATGAGACCAGACTTTTAAGTTTAGTCCACAATGTGTTTGAGAGGCAATTCCTCTAAACCAAATTTGATCGTGTTGCAGGCAGTGCCAAATTAATTATGGAATTTATGCTTTTAACATGCATTTTAAATGCAACTGTTAAATACAGTCACAAGAACACAAGAGGATTTCTGTTCTGTTTGGTTGATCAGATTTCACAACACGTCATCCAGGATATAGCTGTATATGTGCTGCAAATGCTCTAGGCAAGGCACTTGCAGAAGGAATGGGTACATCAAATGTGCTGGAAATCTCCTCAGGATTCTCATCCAGTGCCACTTACTGCAAGGCTCCCTCTACCATCCATGGGAATGGGAACCGAAGCACCAAAAATTCATCGTCTTTCTCTGCATGAATTATAAATCCAAACTAGAGACTCCAAAATATTTTTGTTTCCAAACAACTTTTTGAGTAACAAGTTTTCCTTTCTTTTCTACTCTCTCACAATCCCTTTGCTTACTCCCATTCAAAATAATTTGACATGTGGTAGTTATACAGAAAGTCTAGAAGTCTCTGGAGTAGCACACTGTATAACATACACTGAAGAAAGCAGAAGTCTCAAACAAAAGGAGGAAAAAAGAAAGCTGTGAAAGAAGGCAAATCATGAAAGCAATTTAACTTCCAGCTTTCAGCAAGCTGGAAAGTGTACAAGAAGAGGAGACTCTCAGGGTAAAAGCCAGCTACACGCCAAGGCAGCAGAAGGTCTATCTATCATTTAATCCTCAAAGGACATCACCATTTAGGTGCTAAGTCCTGCTGCTGGATCACGACACGGAAGCCATTATCATCCTTGGAGAGCATGCTGCAGATAGCTTCTCTCAGTAGATCTTGAAATTATTTTCCTCTTACAATGCAGGAAACATTTTCCATTCTGACCTGCAGTCACTCACTACCACACATTTGAATGCATGTTTATAATGCAAAGGCTGGAATGCTGGACAAGGAAAACCAAATTTTCCACTCTTTTATAACTGCAGGCCCACCTTGACCTCAACATGGGGTCACTGAGAGAAGGATTTTGGCTAGGAAAGTGCAACAAAAAGGGTTATCCTTTCAAGTTTGTGGGAGTCCTTCTTCCACAAAGAAAGTGAGGGAAACATCATAGCATGTGACATTACAGGCATTTAACTTCATCCCACATGAAAACAAGAAGAAAACCATGACTGTGGTTTCAAAACCATCTAACTAGGGGAAACGGAGAGCAAGGGACTGAAGCCAGAACTGGAATCCTAGAAGGCAGAAAAGCAGGCTGTCCTTCAGATTATAAATGGGTGTGTTTGTTCACATTAGCACATGGTGCAGGTTTTAGAACATGTTCTTGTGCCCTTCGCTTGGTGTAAGATGCTTTCCAGATTACGAAGAGGTGCTGGGTACCTGGACCCACACTGCTACCCACATACAAGGTCTGACCCTGCCCTTTCTAAGGAGAGGGACAAAACCCTTGCTGCTGTGGACACTGCAAGGCTCTTGAATTTGCATCCTCTGTTACAGAGATGCAGCAGATGCTGGGCTGTGCACTGGGGCTCAGCTCAACAGAGGCTGCAGGCACCTCCACTCAGCTGGGCATGCAGCTCAACCTCCGAACCCTCCAGACTCACCTACTCACCCGTGCCACCACAGAGCAGGGAAGACAGGTGGGTAGCTGACAAACCTAACAGAATTTAATGCTGAGGACTGTGAGGTGGTCATAATGTGGTAACGGGAGCTATGTAAGGATCTCCAGTAACTATTTCATTTATATTGAGGACTTTGGGGACATTTTTTAGCATCTGGACCCCAGTAAATTGTGTCATAGTAGTATGATGGCAGGACAGGTAAATAAGTAAGACAGCACTGGTCATTTCATGTTTACTGTGCAGATATCCAAGCATTTTTAGCATTTCAATGTTCTGCAGCCCAAGCAGAGCTTCCTCTTCCCACTGTCTTGGGTAGATGCGAGCTCTTTGCTTCAAGTGAAATTAAGATCAGTGGTCTCAAAATACTAAACTATGGTTTTGTGGCCACTATCAGAATGAACTATGGTTATTTAAAAAGAAAAAAAAAAGAAAAGAAGGTAAGGTTATGATGTAACAGAGATTAGCTCACATTACAGGAAAATAGCAGAGGAAGGCACGAGCTTTCCGGTTTTGTCCTTCATAACGGTTGGCAGAGCTTTTCAAGCTTACTTTTCAGAAACCAAGGCTACTCCTGGTAGCCATACAGATGGCTGCTGTCCACTGATGTTTCTTGGATAGACTCAACCAGTGTGTCCCAGAAGCCACACTGACCACTCACTGTCGCTCCTGCTCTGCGGGGATAATGCAGATCCCTGCCTCCAGCTATATTTCATATCAGTGATGAGGCTCTGGGACAACTGCTCCTCACCACCCAAGGAACTAAAAGGTAAAACCTGTCCTCAGGTGAACACAATTTCTCTGGCACTGAAGTATCCATTACAGTTTGGAGAACTTCTGGCAGAAAAATGACATTTGGTGTTTGGAGGTGGGATGTGTAAACCAAGGCAGTCTTATCTTTGCCTTGTAGATGGACAGTCTGCAACACTTCATGTGGAGTGTGAATGCCCCCTTTTTCCACCTTCTCCTAACTCCTAACTCCAACTCCTAACAAGTTGTCTCTGATGGTCACTGATGGCAGGCATCCACCTTCCTTACTTCTGTGCCTGTAAACTGCAGCACAAGTGAAGGTGGCCAGCAAACGTTGCAGTGGGGCTTACAGGGGTTAGGAGCTGCTGTCAGGAAAGGAAAACCAGAACCAGGAGGCAAAGATAGGATAGGAAGGAAAAAGGAGAGAAGTAAGTAACATAACCCGCCACATTTCTGCAAGCGGGGCTGTGTTTCTCCCTGCTCTCAGTTCAGTGAACACCCTACTGCAGGCAGAGGCAAGTAAATACACCTTGGAGACTTGCCAGGTGCAGGATCAGGCCTTTGGGCTGAATTTCTCCCTTAGCACCAAATAGCTTTGTTACAGGGGAAGGCAGGAAAGATGGGCTGCAATGCTTGAGGCAAGCTTTTGGATGAAATCTTAACAAACATCAGATGAACCTCACTATGGACTTCCCATTTTTGAAAATGTAAGACTCTGTGCTTGACAGGAGCTTGCTCATCCATGTGACATGAGAGAGGGCAGTTGCCAGTGGTCCTGCAGGCTCCTGTTTTGACTCTGTCAATGTTAGTTCATGAGTGTCAAAGAGGAGGTGGAAGTTAAAAGGAGAAAGAAAGTGGCCCATGGCTTCAGAAACATCCTTTTTCTACAAAAGTGAGTATGTGAAAATAAAATAGTAAACAGTATCCCCAAAAAGATTGAATTCTGCAGTCTTTCTTTTTTTTAAATAATACTTGAAAACATTGGGAAGGGAAGAAAAAGGTAAAAGCCAAGAGCGTAAATGCAGAAGGACATGGAGGGACCTGTTAGGAAGGGAAGTGCCGCCAGCGAAACGTTGGTTTGCTTTCCCTGGGGAACTCTGTGCTCCTGGAAATGCCTAATATAGGTACTGAGTTAGCACAGCCAGCACCCTCACCAACCCAAGGAGTCCAGACTTCATGGCCAGGGGTCAGCCGTGTCATTTGGGAGGTATAGTCCTATTTCAGGGAGGTATAGCACACCATAGAGGGGTGCAGTCCTCACTTCTTGCTTGGCAGAGGAACAAGCTGTTTCTCCTCCCACTAAAGCAGGGCTTTGCATGGAGCCACTGCTTGGGAGCCCAAGGACTGGTCCAAGTCAGTCTGGACAGGCAGACATGGGGGGACCTCCCCAGGCACATCCCTCAGACCGATGGGGTGGCCACAGCCCTCTCATACATGCGCTCCAAGATGCGGTGGATGCTGGCGAAGCCTGGCCGGTCGGCAGGCAGCTTGCTCCAGCAGAGGCGCATCAGGTTGTAGAGCTCCAGGGGACAATTGTCTGGGCAGGAGAGGACATTCCCATCCCTCACGTAGTAGATGACCTCCTCGTGAGCCATCCCATAGTAGGGCTGCATGCCATAAGAGAATATCTCCCACAGCACCACCCCGTAGGCCCACACATCAGACTCTGTGGTATAGCGATTGTAGAAAATGGACTCAGGAGGCATCCAGCGGATAGGGATGGCATCGTTCTCATTTGCTTTGTAATAGTCGGCTGAATACATGTTCCTTGAGAGACCAAAATCAGCGATTTTGACCACCATGTTCTCCCCTACCAGGCAGTTCCTGGTAGCCAAATCCCGGTGGACAAACTTGCGCTCAGAGAGGTACGCCATGCCAGCAGCCACCTGCTTAGCAATGCAGAGCTGGCTGGTGCAACACAGAGCCAGGGGGTTGGGGAGGCGGATCCGCGCGTCCAGGCTACTGTGCACCAGACTGCAGAGGTTGCGGGGTGAGCGGTCACGCAGGTACTCGTTGAGATCCCCGTAGGCCATGTACTCGAACAGCAGGCACATTGGTTTCCCAACAGCACACACACCTGGAAGAAGATAGATGCATGACACAAGTCATTTTGGGTAGCAAAGAGGGTTCTGTTTTGCAAAACCAAAAAATTCCAAAAATACTTACACAAAGGGGAGATTTTCAACAATGCATGAAGAGACAGAGACGAACGTGAAGCATGCACATACCATCAAGTTTGCATGCATCCCTTTGTGTCTTTGAAGGTCCTTCACCGGGCATGAGCTCTGTGGAAGATGCTAATAAGTCATGTAGTCTCCTGATTTGTCTGGACATCCCAGGAAAAAGATAGACTTTTGGAGCTATGTTTAATTAAGGGCCCAGTCCTGCTTAAGTTGGCATTAACAGAAGTATTGCCTCTTCCCAGGTGCAACTGGAAGGACATACTTTCAGGAAGTAACCTTTATAGTTCTGATCACGGTATTTTTTAATCCTTTTGTTCTTGTAATTATTGTACTTATACTGATATGGATGTAGGGGCTACACATATGCAGGAAGACTTCAGGAGTAATCACAAGGGGCATATTCAAAAGTTCAGTGGGATACTTGAAATGCAAAGACACTCCCACTACAATTTATCTGGATTTTTCTTTTTTTTTTAAACAGCTCGTGCAAAAAATGTTGCAGAAATTACTTTAGTATCACAGATATTCAAAAATGAAAGAAAGACAAAGAAGCAGCAGACATTAGAACAGAGAGATTTGACACATCTGATGGATGCAGAACATAGTCCTACTGAAGGGCACATCCTTGGTCCTACACCAACTTTACTGGGGGCCAGCGTCAGTACAGGACCCCATTCTCACCAGTTTTATTGAGCATACAGTGATATGGCAAAAACATTTGCGTGCCTATTATAAATTGCCAACCAACAAAAGCTGGCATTTAAAATATATGTGGTTTCTTTTTTGTGGCCGTCATTCAGCAATTGGTGATCCAACTTATTGTGAAATCTGAAATTTTGGTTGATGACCTAACATTTGAATCTTTGAGGAAAAACAGATAGCTGCTCCCAGTGTGATAAAAAATCAGGATCTGACAAGCATGAGGAGTGTATGTGAGAGCTTTATCGTCTAAGCCGTCTTCAACAATGTGGCTGTTTTCTCCACACCCCCACAATGTGAAACTAGTTTTTTCCTGTACCTTTGCCTTTTCCTGGCCTAAAATGTGTTGACAGTAAACACAAAGTTTATTTGAGTTTGGGGCATTTTCTGCTTTTCTTTTCTGTAGCCAAAGTACTTGTATCAACCCAGCTTTCCCAAAACTGGGATTTATCTATTTCCAAATTCTGTGGAGCTTCCTATTGAAATAAATTAAGATCTAACCTGCCTGTTCACAGGGATCAGATCTGCATACAATAACTTAGAGCAGGATTGCCAGATGAAGGTGGCTAGCAACATCTACTTCAGTCAAAAACTGAAAATTTACTGAAATAAAATTTGGTCAGTGGCTTTCTTCACAAAAGAATGCCCTATGAGCCAAGCTGCAGCATCGAGACTTTCTAAAAAACCCAATAGACTGGGGTTTCCTTTCAGCTGGGAAGGGAAGGAAGAGACCATTTTTGCGGTTAGCTTTTTTTTTTGTCTATTTGTTTCATTTTGTTTTTTTAATGCTGGTGAGTGTTCAGACATCACAATAGTAAGTGGGACCCATAAAGCTAACAAGACTTGTGTCTGGTTTTTTTAAGTACTCACAGAATAAACCACAGCTCCAGGAAGCTCGTGCCTTCCCTGTTAGACATCTGTGCCAATATTATTAAACTGGAAGCAGAGCTAGGCCTCAAGATGGTCAACAGTATACTGAATGCAGGACAAGGAGGGTTTATTATGATGCACCATCCTGTTAAGGCAACAGCATCAGACCTACATTTTGAGACCTGTTCTGGTGGACAATTTAGCAGAGCATGCAGTGGCACATAGAAAATGTCACCTCTTTTGCAAGAGGCATTTTCTCTTGCAACAGAGACCAGCATTGCCATTTGCATTAAGCACCAGTCATGCATGTGTGCTCACCCCTGCACCCCCAACAACCCCACAGCAGATTTGCAGAAAGTGTACACCTTGTACATGGGTGCCTCATTCAGATACCTAAAAGCTTGACAATATTCGGATTGTCAAATTCTGCCATCAGGGCTGCCTCCCTCTGAAAGTCAGCCTGCATATCTGCAGATGCTTCCTCCTTCAGCATTTTCACTGCCACCATTGTGAAAGGCTCGTACGGCAGCAGCCCTGGGGCCCTGCAAGGAGAGGAGAGAAAGGAAAGCATCAGTGACGGATGCATGCACACAAAATGCAGGCTCCATTTCTGGTGCGAAAGAATAGACTGACAGAAAGCGGAAGAATTAAAAAAAAAAAAAAGGTGCGAGGCCCCAGCACTGGCTGCAGGAACGTGAAAGACCATCTTCACCTCTCAGGCACGTCTGCATTGCATAGTACAGAGACATTTAGTTTAGTTCAGGGGGGACTAAATCCAGTATATCTTTTTTTGATCACTGCTCTTTCTGCTTACAGACTCTTTACCATGACTTGTAAGGAGATAAATAAATAACAGGTTAGTAAGCAATACCTCTCCCTGGGTTGGAGGTCACATCAGAAACTTCATGGAGGGCAGGATGGACTCTTCAGTCCAAATAATTTCCTTTTGGGGTGTAATGACTGAGCTTACCAGAGTTAAAAATAAACTTATTTTATATGAAATTGTTGAAAGAGGCTCTTTTCATTACATCTTGTCCCATACCTGGCACAATGGTGACATTGGTACATCTGGCTACTATTAGAGTGAAAGTAACAATTACGTTGAGTATGTTCCCCTGGTTTTGCAAGGAAAATAGCCTTTTGCCACTGTTCTCTGTATGTGTGTGTGTGCGGCATGTGTGTATGCCTGTAATTCAACAAGTTATAAACCCATTAGCTAATTTCAGATTAATTTAATATGGTGGAGCTGAGGTCTAGGAAATAGTTATGCTCCTGTAAGTTTTCTGGAAACCGGTGACAGGACAGAAGGGACAAAGCATACATGTGCCCTGTCTGAAAAACAAGGTAATGGGTGAATACACCCATGTTAAGACACTGGTTAATCTTCAGCTAGAGCTTAGAGACACAAATCCATAGGAAACAGAGCTTCCTGACTTAGAGCTATCATGACTCAATTTATATTCTTATGCACAGGTCACTGCCCCCTCAACAAGTTTAATTAGATGGGCTTGCCAAAAATTTAGGGGTAGCTGTTGCCAAAGAAGAGTAACTTTTTACTCTTCAAACACGCTTCATGCCTCAGACATGCATTTTGTTGCTCACGTAAATTCTTCCCAGGCATCCTGCAGTTCAAACACGCTCCTTACAGGTAGCCAGCCAGAGCCCATGGAGAGTGGTGCCCATTTACGTGTTGTGTTACTACACCGGCTGACTGCCCTCCCATTGCTCAAATGCTAGGTTATTTTACACCTCAGTAGCCCCAAGAGGAGGTTCCAATTTCCAAAGCAAACTTCCAGGTTCCTTGTCATCTACTCCAGACATATGGCCATTGCAACAGTTGCACTTGGATGCTGTAAATGTCAAATGCCAGGAGATGGGCAGGGTGCCCATCAAGAAAGGAATCTCACAGGTGGCCAGATCGCAGCTGAGACACTCGGGTGAGGAGGTCCGGCATGCCAGAGCAGAGGAGCAGATTCCACACTTGTCTGCTACTGCCTCCATTACAGCAAGATGTCTTCCTGTTTTTTCCCCTGTGCTGGCAGCAAGTTTCCAGTCTAGTAGGAGGGGAGAAGTACCAGCACCTACCAGCTGCTGTCTAATCTCAGTGCTGGAGAAAGTCAGCAGCAACAGCCTGAAGAAACCAGTAGAGCATTTAAAAGTAAAAAGAGGAGGGCCTTTATCTCTTCCAAACAGCCTAACTGTAGATTAACACTCATCACTGGCTACCAGACCTAGTGCAGTGCCAAAGCAGGGCAGGCCCACCTCCATCTTGCATGCTTCAGAGAGAGAAACTCACCCCAGGCCAAAGCCTGAAGTACACTCATCCATCTGCTCCTCACTGAAATCCTGTAATGTAAACTAACCTAAATGTAACTTAAGTAAGATTAAGCTCACAAAGCCTTTTAATGGGCCTTCAGGCAACAGCAAGTAATTTCACCCTTTGTAACTCATGTGCTACTTCAGCCCAGGTCTTAGCAGACCTGGGAAAATCACACTGATCTGTAACAGAGACAGACTCTGTTTGCAGTCTTCGTAGAGAGCTGTTGAAGTTGACCGCTTTGGTGTACAAAGGACAGTCTTTGCACAAAGGGATAGGGGCACATCTGCAGGGAAGCAATGGGAAGCTGCTGCTTCTGAAATTAACCAGGAGAATTCAGGCAGCAGGCCAGAAAGTGGAGTGTTTTCTAGAAAATAGCTAAATGTCTTCTAGAACTGGGAAGCATCAACAGAAATTACCTTGGGTTTCCTATCTCTTGATTATCTAAATGCTTAGGAGAAATGTCCATTGTTTGTGCACAGGATGGATAGCAGCTGTCCTCACCTTCTTCACCATCAATGGATTTATGCAACACTGGCAGCATTTGGCTTTTAGGTACCTGCCATTCAAAGAACTAACCAGTGGTGCCATTAGCGATTTCACCCTGAGCCTATCTACAGAGAGTGCCTGACTTTAAGTTTCCAGTCAGGTTTTCTGTCTAAAGCACTAACTGTGAAAAAACTGAGGAGCAGCTTGACCTGTATTTGAGATTGTGTCCTGTCCCTCATCTTCCTCAGCATCATAGCTGGGTAGCTTCTGTTAGATCACTTAATGATGCAATTAACATCTACTGAGGTTGGTGAAGACCTACCTTTACTTTATCCTTTGTATGTGGGCAGGAGAGTGCTCTGACTTGGCAGGGGTTTCTTTTGTTGTGTTTTTTTTTAATTAACATCCACACTGTTTTTCAGCTATATTTGAGACAGCAGTTCAAAGAAACACCCTTTGCACTTGGAAAGAACATGAAGATACTTTGTTAGAGAAACTCCAACCTTAGGGACAGCCTTGTCTCTTGCAGAGATGATGAGTTGTGCCTTTGCAGTGGGGGTCTACTGGCCTGCTAGCAAAGACCCCACATCCAGGCTTTTAGGCAATAATGGGCTTCAGGCTTAGCCTGCACCATGTAGCTCCAGCTCTGGGAGAAAAGTTGCATACTGGTCTGCATTGAACTGCACAGGACTCTAGTGGCATGTGGGATGCTCTAGTGCATGTGGGGCCAGCATGGTCCTCCCAGGGGCAGAGGATCCTGAGTCCGCCTTCATGACCCAGTCGGGACAGACCTGAGCCAGGTCCTGAATCTTGTTTTTAGGACATCTGTTAAGGTAACGGGTTACTTCCTCATCCTTTCCAGTGTGAAGCTGCTGCCAGTGAAGACGACAGCCTTTCTGGAGAAGCTAGTAAATGATAGCCAGACGTTTCCTGTCCTAACATGTTGCTTGACCCAGGCGTGAGTAAACACTGAATCAGGACTCACAGCAAGCCAACTGGCAAAGGCATCGCTGGCACCGTGCACAGAGCTGTGTTTACAGGAGAGGGAGAAACATGAGACCAAGAGAAGTAAGAGGGTTCCTAAACTTAGCTCAAGAAGTCCATTTAACACATGTAGACAAGTACATTTTATCCATCTGAGATGGGAAGGCAACGATTCGAGTTGTGATAGCTTCAGTAACCTGGAGGGATGCACAGCTGGCACTCCTGGATCAGCAGTCTGCACTGATCTGCCAGCGATACACAGAAATGCCAGTGGTTTAAATGTTCCCTGGAAATAAAAGGCCTTGGAGGGACTTTTGACAGAGATACATATTAATAAAAATAAGGAAGCCCCTCAGAAGCAATATTTCTGTGGCTCCTACCCTGAGCCATGGAGAGCAGGTGTTTTTCAGGGTAAGGTACTCTCCTCTTTGCAAATGCTGGCTAAGATTTGTTGCTTTTTTTTTTTCCTTTTCTTTTTCTCCCAGTTTCCACTGACAATAGCAAAAAGGTTTGATTAAAAGAAATTGAAGCACTGGAGTGGATGAAATCCACATAAAAGGTCTCTACACCATTTTAGTGCTTGCTTAACCCAGTGCTTTAGTGACATTTGAATGCTGTTTGAGAGGTCCTGCTCAATGGAGGTGAGGGTCATTTCCAGCTCAGAGAGGTCTGTGCAGCACTTATATTTAAGCTCCCAGCGCAGGGCCACAGCAGCACTTGGCAGGAAGACCGCCTGCCTTGCTGGCACACCCGCAGCATGGCAAAGACCCCCACCGCATGAGCAGGAAGGCGACGCTCCACAGGGCGTCCAGAGCATTGTGCTGTGGCTGGGACGAGGACTGCCCCATGCCCCTGTGCTGGCTGGCACGCAGTGCCCCGAGCACACAGCTGTGGTGCAGTTCCTACAACCTTGTTCTCATTTCAAGCTCAGAGGCGTTCAGCTTTGCCATGTAGGCTAACAATCAATCACAGGCTAAACATCTGCGATTTTCCCACTGCGCACCCTTCGATCTTTGTTATTTTTAGCTCTTTCTGTATTAAAGAAAAGTAAGCCTGCATTTCTTCCACTAGAAAAAATGCATCCCTTCATTAGAAAAAAAAATCCATCACAGGTATTGAAACTGTTTCCCCACTCTAACACATTTAACCTGCGCGCAACTCATTTCCTAGCAGATACAACAGCAGCATAACTATAAACATTAAAAGTGTCTGCAATTATGACTGCTTTTTGCAAGGAGAGTCCTTTATCTTTGAAGTCAATGGAAGCAGTTCCACCACGCAGTCTTGGCCCATGGTGGGACTCTGATACTCCCCTGTTTTTTTAATGGTCATCATACACTAACTCCAGATACAGCTATAAAATCAGCCACATCCCAGACTTGTTAACTGTAAAGGACAAAGAAAACCATCCTGAGTAAACATGGAACTGGACAGTCCATCATCTTTCTTTCAGGAATTTGGGGATGGGATTTTCCAAGGAGACCAATACTGGTCAATAGAATGTCCTGCAGAAATTATGGACTCTGTCAAGGCTAATAAGATGCGCTCCATCCACCTCAGTCTAGGCAGGACTGTGTTCACCTCTTGCTTTTTCAGTGAAACATTTTTCACATTTGAAGAAGTGCATGATCTCACCTCCCATGAGATTTAACAGAACCAGGATGTCATCTAATACCTTAAATTTAAAACAGGCAACAGTGGCTGCAAATGCCAAGAATAAAAAATGAGTGACTAAAGGGGACACACACACAAAAAAAATTGTTGGCCTAAGTGGGTTGGGTTTTTAGGGGATTTTTGGTTTGGTTTGGTCTTGCTACTGAATCAAATGGAAACTGGGTCAAGACCTAACTGTAGCATGACACATTGCCCTCTGTGGTAATTACTGGGCAGTGTTGGCATTATAATGGAGGCCATCACACACTGACGATTTGCAAATACTGGGAAATGCAAGAATTTCGCAATAGGTCACATCACAGGCAATATTCTTGGCAAAAACTGTAATGATAAATTTAGCTAAGCTTTTACGCCAGACTTTGGTATGTGAGTAAGACATTGCATCTACTGGAGAGAGGAACAGGAGAGGAATTTGTGGCAAAAGTTTAACAACTATCAACAGAAAGCAGTGGACAACAGAAACAATTATTCAAGCCTGAGTATACCATTTGGTACACATGCATTTCATTTTGGCTTGAGTGAATGAATTTCCAGTGCCCAGATAAGCAGTTGCCCAACAGCCATTTTTTCCCAGGTACCTCCAGATAGAGAGGACTCACACACAGGCTGCGTACCTTGCTTGGAAGACTCTCCCAAACGCTCCTTCCCCAATATCTCTCACATATTCAATATTGTTCCTGGGATACTCCAGGCTGAGCAATTTCGGATTGAGGAGAAGGGGCATCCGCTGGTACATTGGGTTGGGGTGCAGCCGGTCCAGGAGGAGTTCAGAGGGCAGAGTGGTGAGTGTCGGTGTCTCTGACTCTCTGAAACGATGGAGCAGTTTTCAGTCAGTGTGTGCACAGCCACCAACCAGGAGATATATATCTGCATCTCCACCAGGGCTGGTTTCTTCCAGGATGGAAAAGGGATGTGCAGCAGGGCTGTTGAAAGAGCCTTGCAGCAAGGTGTCATGCCATGTCTCCAAAAGAGCCACCAGGCCACCTTTTGCTCTGGCACAGGGACTCGCCAGAGCTTGCACTGGGCTGCCACAGTCAAGGGGAGGGCTGCTCCTCTGCTACCAGGTGTTCGCAGGACTATGCTCTGAGAAACAGGCAAGCCCTCTTTCAAAGCAGCATCTCTTGCCTTTAGTTAAGACCTGAGCTTTACCTCTTTTTGGTTTTCCACTGCTTTCGCCGACGGCAGCAAACCAGGGTGACAATGCCAAGGATCACAACCAGGGCAAAGCTGGAGATGATTGAGATGATGACAGTCATGGAGTATGTAGGGGAAAAAGGAAGAGGAGGGGGGAGATTTGGAGTCTCTCCATTTGGTTTTCTTGTTCCTAGTGATAACAATGCTGTAATGCAAACAAAATCAGAAGGTTATGCCTCTGCTAGTTTATAGGTCTTTCTCTAAGAGGTATTTATGGATTCAGCCTGATGTCCTGGGAATTACTGACATTACAGATACAACTGTATGACTGCATGAGAGGACCATACTAGGGAAGCCTGGCTTGCAGGAGGCAAAGCCCATCTCTGCTTGCCAAATGTGAAAACCCAGGATCTGCTAAAGACCAAGACACAGTTCCCACTGAGCTGGGAGCACAATTTTGGTAAGGAATGTTTGCAAGAGTTACAGATGGGAGATCACATCTGATGGTCTCAACAGTATTCAAATATAGTAATGTCTGCAGTGGGAAAGATCAATGGTCTACAATGTGGACCACAATGTATCATGTGTCCTAAAAGGAATCTGCAGGGAGGAGTGTAAGACCAAGTACACAGTGATACTTTCCTAAAATATCCCCTTGCCTCCAACAATTTGCATCTCAGTGTCTTTATGGGGCAAATATGGTAAACTAGTGTAAAACACATTTGGCTGTATCATTAGAAAAAAAAAATATTCAGGTAGCCACCTGCTGAGTATTTTCTGAGACATTCTAGAAAATGGCAATCTGTACATGCAATGATTGAGAACAGAAACAAATTTAAACCATTCTTTTTAAGGACAGCTAAACTGATACTGACTTGTGTTCCCATAAGTCCACAGCACCCCTGTTCTCTGTGTAAGCAGAATTGTCTTATTTCCAAACACTGAGATCCAGAAATTGTGCATCTTGGATTAAATACGTTTCAAAAATTGTTCTGCTCTTTGAACAAGATATAACAGAAAGACGCAGTTTCCACATCACAGATCGAAGATGTTTCCATCTTTTTCAGATTTGTTTTTAGTTAGAATTGTTTTTTATTATTGAAAAAAATCGCCAGAAGCAAAACAACTTTGGCAAATATGCCCCAAACCCTACCTTCTCCTCAAAACACAGTGTGGCAAATCCATTTCTCATAATACCACAGGAAATGCAATTTCATCCTTTGGCCTTAATATACCCTGCGGCAAGGTGCTCAATTTGCCTATCTTCATTTTCCCATCTTTAAGGTGCATGTTACACCTCTGGTTAATGATGCTGAGTGAATCTATGAGAAGAATCAGGACTGGCCGAATCCAGAAGACAAAAGAGATCAGTGTGGCTGTGAGCACTCAGGATGCAAACACCTTGCATGGCCCCAAAACAACAACAGTGGCAGAAATCATAAATTGCAGTTGCTTACCATCTCCACAGGGAGACACACTGCAGTATTCCCAGGTCACGGATGGATCTTTTGTATAGCACCAGGGACGTTCATTCTCACCTCCTGGATTACGGCAGTAATTCTCTGCATCAGACAGCTCTGGGAAAACCTGAGGAGTCCTTCTGTGCAAGTGGGGAGCCTTGAGGGAGGAAAAAAATTGGGTTAGTGTTTCATTATAATTTTTCCTGCTGGTATTAGCAAAACAAAACCAAATCAAACAAAGGAGCAAAGAAAGGCAGAGATAAAACAGCTTTTCAGTAGCCTGCCAGAATGACAGAGAACGTATCTTGCCACAGGAAGGGGAACTTGCGGATTAAAATATGAAGAGGGTTTGAAACACCAGTGAACTCAAGAATTAAGGCAACCTGTCCCCTGCTCAGCCCTTCCACTGGGACTGGGCTGCCCAGCTCTGGGAAACTCTTTGGAAAAGCAGACCTCAAGCATGGCTCTCTGTTCGGTGGGTCTCACACTGATGCGCACCTGGTCGCTCCACTTCTGGCAGGGAATGCCAGAGGCCGTGACATTGGCCCAGCCCTGGTAAAACTGTCCATTGCCGCTGTAGCAAGTCCCTGGGAAAAAAAAAAAAAAAACAAACATGGAGTCAGACCATGATCTGCAGCAGGGACTCACAAGAGTTTACTTGATGTTGTTACACGAGAGCATGTGGCAAGTAGCAACAGATCTGAAGCACATAAAAGGACCAGGCAACTGCAGGCAGGGAACTTCTTAGCCTCCTGTTCACATTTAAATAGATTTTGAGGTCAATACATAAGACAGATCTGGTAGAACTCCAAAGAGGCAATTGGAGGTCTTTCAGATTGAGAAGATGGGCCATGTGCCTGCAATGGTTGCACTGCATCTACCCAGTTCACAGTGCTTCCATGCAGAAAGTGCAGAGCAGAACCACAGTGAAGCCACCCATGCCAAACCAAGGCAGAAGGCAAACTGCAGCACTGATTGCATGATTCCTAGCCTGCAATCTTACAGGGGCACTAACAGGAAGACACCCATGCTCCTGGGGTAGGTAGCAGAGGGCTGGGATTCATAAAGGCCCATGGTGGTATCCCTCCTCCCTGCCTCTGTACAATTCTTGTCCTCTTAGACTGAATGTTTGGAAACAGTCTATGTTTTCCAGCATGTGTGGAAACCACACACTAAAGGTAACTACAGATCTGAAGGAATAGTATTGGTATAAAATAATGTTCTTTATAATGAAGAATGTGTAGTTCACTTTCTATATACAAGGCTTACTCCAGGGGCAGAAAAGTTAAACTGAAAATCTTGAGAGGATTTTTACTGCAGGAATATGTTCCCAAAACATAAATGTAGATACCACCTGGCCTCATAGGAGACTTTAATGCATGCTGGCATAATCTAGGAAGCAGGAAGACAACAGAGGAGATGCAGCCTTACACACTTTAACACATGTTAGCTAATCTTACGTAAACTCTGCTGACCAGGGGCTAACATTCTGGTTGATAACATGCATTAGGGTCCACTGCATTAGTAATCTTGTTAGATAAACTAACAAGCCAGCAAACACTGTTGTCATAATTTTATTTTCTACTGTGTTCTTAAATTTGCAGCTCAGAAAAAGAAAAACAGGAAGAAACCTGACCTGTTCTAAAATAAAGACTTTTTTAAGCAAATCTTTTGCAGCTTCATAAAAGCTTTGTATAAGTTCTGATCTAAGTTTGAGACAAAGGCTGTGTGTTTTGATTTATCCTCACAGATTGTCCTGTTTCTTCTGTAGGAGGAACATCGTAAATGCATCATGATGACTATCTGCTCTTTTCTTCTTGCATCACCCTCTGCACTCAGGATTGCAGTTATGTGTCTTTTATAGATCCTTAGCTCTCTGAATTGCACCAGGCTACAGGCACTACACATGGGTAGGTAGCAACACCACCATGACAGTGTTTGCTCCAGGTGAATGAGCTGAAACCCAGGATTAAGTTCCTCTAGCCCAAGGCATGCAAACACCTCAGTATAGGAATGGACGTGGACTTCACAAGTACATGAGCACCTATCACAAATTCAAAGTAAAATGCTCTAACTTGGCCTTCTTTGACTGACATGTAAGCTACAATATTATGCCTCACATCTGCAACAAGCTAGCAGCCCCCACATGACAAGCACTTGTAGTTCTGCAGAGGTGTAAAATCTTGTTAAGCTGCTATAGGACCTAGTTGTGCATCTGAGCCCAGCATTTCAAATTGCTCACATTCAAAGGCAAGAAAAGCAATGCCTGAAACCTGCCTCATGACTGAGCTAGTAACCAACACGAAAAAAACTTTTGCACAGTTCTGAAATAAACATCAGTGTGACACCTTAGAGGAGCAACATGGAGAGCTTTAGGGGCAACAGCAACACTAGGGAAGTACCCCTGAGTCCTTAGTGGCCTGGAAAATGCAGATGCTCTCATACATGGTCTTGCGTCTTGCTGCAATGAGGACAGAGGGCATAATAAAGGTGGTCCAACTGGGCTTTAATTAATAACTTTGATAAGCAAGTTAAAAACCAGTTTGCTTCCTGCTCCCCAAACCTTTGTGCACATAACAGTGACTCTAAAGTAAAAAACAGCAGTAAATATCACTAAAATGTTAGTGTTATGTGTCCCTGATTCATGACCAAATAGTGCAAATCTGTGCGATGCCACCCTTGGAAATTACTGTGAAAGCTGAACAAAAAGGTCACAGATTTACACAGGAGGCAGAGGCCATGTCCTGAACTTGCAAACATCCAAGAGGAGGCTGAAATCATCCCATGAATGTGCCACTCTTTTGCTGGCATCCCTCCCTCATGTTCCTTTCCCCAGGAAGGGGATGGCTGCATCTGCAGGCTGTAAGCATTGGGCAGTGATGCTGGAGGGCCCATGGGTCCTAAAGCACTTGTCTCCCAAGAGTGCAGCACCGGATGACTGAGGCTTGGGTGGCCAAGTGGAGCCGAGGCCTTCCCATGAAAGAAAATTCCCCAGGAGTATCGATTTCACCTTTTTCGCTTTCTCTCTCCACACAGAACATGCCTGCTGCTGCCAAATCTGCAGCCCGTGCCTGCTCAGAAGCATGGCAGGAAGGAGGCATTGTTCTTCCTTTTTCTCATGGGACAAGTTCAGTGGCTGAGCTTTAAACTGCAGTTGCATGTCAGCTGGAGGAGCTGGATGTGCATGTTTCAGCTGTGGCCAGCAGCAGGGCAGGAGGCTGACAGAAGTCACAGCAGCACCGTGAGGGATGGCTGGATCTCACTGTTGGTCATGGGAGGTCATGCGAGAAACAGCCAGACTTTCAGACATGATTGGAGGAGAGTGCCAGGGCCTTTTGGGTAATAAGGTCTTGCAAGGCCAGCCTGACATAGGTAACCATGGCAGTAACAGCATATAAGGCTGGGATGACCTAAGTAGCAGTATCAGAAATATCAAATATGGTAAGGCAAAACTAGAAGCAATGGGTAGAAAGAAGGGGAAACAGCTGAAAAGGATGGTACCACCTAAAAACACCATGCCTCTCTGATCACCTTCAACAGTTGCCAGCCCACATTCTCCCCAAACCCTGAAGAGCTGGAAATGTGTTTCCTCATGCCTTGGATGTGGAAGCTCAGGCATTCCCTGGTAATAACCTGAATCCAGCTAGCCAGGACCAGAGCAAAACACAAAAATGCCATGCACACAGCATCTTCAACAAAGAATATCACGCCCACTGCTAGAAACATAGAGCCTGGAGCAGTCTACTTACTGGTTATATTCTCTTTCTTAAAATCTGTGAAAAGACAAGACAAGATGTAAGGAGAGGTTGTCCGGGACGTGATATAACTGGGTGCTTGCTTAGGAGCATGCTATGGCAAAAAGTTCCCTCCCAGCAGTGCTTAAGCAGCTTGTTTCTTTGCAACGGCACCTGAATAGCAATTTTTCTATTATTAAGACTGATTTTGGCAATGAGGTTGTTATGAGCCTCTCAATAAAGACCCAGGCTTTATTTGCTTGAGGGATTTTTCCCACACCGCAGTCGGATGAGACAGGCAAAGAGCCAATGGGACTGCCACAGTTCTGTGCACAGGTGGTGACAGGACAATACCCACCATCAGCCTTTAGTTGTAAATTATGGATTGCATCCTTCCCCCCTCCCTCACCAAGACCACAGCTCTCCAGACAACAGGCAGTGTGCACCCCCCTACCGAAGAAAGGGATGCGGGTGCAGGTGCTGGGGTCCTGGTGCAGGCTGGGCAGCCTGTTGCATTCGGGAAGAGTGAGCAGCATCAGCCCTGGCTTGTAAATCCCCTTCTGAGAGTTTTCTTCCATTGAGAGCCATTCCTTAAAGCAGTAGAGATCCTTTACAGCAAGGCAATTCTCTCTACATTATTTCGCAAAAAACAGTGAAATACAGCAGTCAATGGCTTGATAACAACAGCTGCACTTAGCAGTGGTGTGCAGGGGTTATGCAGGCTGACAGCAATCCCTTAATAGGGCTATGCTTCTTTAAGCCAGTCTGTCTGGCTCATAAACCATAAAGGAAACTCTGTATAAAATATAACAGCTCCTTTAGGAAACCCACAAAGCTGCATTTTTAATGATGCAGGGTTATGGTCAAAACACAACACACATCACAGTCTGTGAGAAGTTCGTTCCTATCTTTTTCTACAGATTTATTGCCATCTTCTACCAATAAACATCATGCCTGGGAGTTATCTCAGCATTTTTCAGTGCATTCTAAAAGTCTCACCTGTCTTCTGTAAATTGTACATTAAAGTGTCACCTATTAAAGACAGGAGGTGAGCTGCAATTCTTAACCTTCTTAAACTAAATATTTGCCTGTATTTTTAATATCACAGATTCACCCATCCAATTTTCTTCTTTTCTCTGTGGAGACCTTTCAGTGCCTTTTTTATCTGTCAGCTGTCTGCAGCAAAGCCTTTAGACCGTCTGGTAAAACAAGAGACTTAACTGTCTCCTACCTAATGTATTGCCTCCATAATGATGTGAAACATTCACTGACAGGAAGTGCTTTGGATGTTTAAATGTTGCTTAGGTCAGAAACTGTTTGTGAAGAAGGCCAAGACAGAAATATCTGCTTGAGGGTTTGTTGCAAGAGTGAACTTTTTGGTGATTTGCTTATTTATGTACTCATTCTTGAAAGCCTCAGTTGCAAAACCAGCTTTGATGTCATGTGCAGAGATTACTTTTGCTGAGCTCAGCTGAAGTCCCTTGCGGATCCACATCCTTCCCAGCCACCACACCTCCTGGCAGGTGTGGGAGAGGACGAAGTGATGGAGAAAGGTACTGCTTGGGTCTGTTGTGAAGGTTTTAGCCAAATTCGTCACCTGGTGTGCTGATGCAGTTTCTTTACTTATACCCTGCCAACAGTTTTGGCAAGAGCAGATGGCCATCAGTTTCAGTGATGACTACCAATGCTGCAAACCATATAAAGCACCTGAAGGACAGAGGCCATTGGGAATTCTACCACGGCAGCACCTTTTCTGCAACAGTGGATGTCCTTTAATTCTGCAGGCTGAAGCCATCAAAGCCCAGCTGCCCCATGCTTGGTTTTAGCCAGTGCTGGCTTATTCCTTCCTCACTTCCATGAAAGCCAGAACACAGCCAGATGGTGTAATTTGTCTTTTTTATGTTAAACAACATGTGGAACAGGAATTACCTTCTGAAGTAAAGAAACATTTAGCCAAGGAAATGAGAAAATCTTGCATTTGAAGCGCTGGCTGACGCTTGGGAGATCTGGACTGCATTAGCTGCCTTCACTCCTGAAGCCTGAGCATCCTTAAACAAGGCCCTTATTCAGTGTGCAACTGCAAGACGTGAAAGACCATTCCTCTGCAATCCTGTTTGCTCCAGTTTTAAAGGCAGGTTATCTTCACCCACAAATCCATCTTGGGAGTGTGGTGAGGGAGGAATGATCAGTCTCATCGAGCTGGGTTCATACCATTGTTATAACACTTAATCCTGAGCAGCCAGACCTTGATGAGATCATATGCAAAGATTACTTCAGATTATTATTAGAAATGTTATGTCATGTAAATGACAGAGGGACAAAGAACAGTAGCAGCAGAAGAGGAAAAGTGGGCCAGTAGCATTTTAGGGACCACAAAGGATTGTTTAAGAGGAGGTGGGGACACATAAAGTGAGGTGTTTCCTTACACAAGACTGTTCCCTGCCTGGTCACTTCATATCAGCAGTGGTTGAAAGAGAAGTTGAGGGGTTTTGTTTTGCTATCACAGAAGCAGCCAGTGATAAAAGGCAGATGTGATCAAGAATTATGAGATGAGACATCACTTTCCCTTAAAAACAGGAAAACTCTAATTTTAATCAAATTGCATCTTAATTTACATGAAATGAAACTTTTCCCATGTTGTTTTCTTCTGTTTTACTTCATCTTGTTTTACCCCCAATTATTTTTATAAAAGCTTTACTCAGTCTGTTTGTCAGTTGTTATTCTTGCTAGCTAGCTTCCAAACTAAAACGAACATAAAAAATTACATGGGGAGAGAAAAAACAGTGCTGAGAATAAACAACAAGACAAAAACACATGGAAATATGTCCTTCAAAAACTGGGAGAATTCTCTGGCCGCTGAGATAACTAAATTCTTACTCATTAAGTGTCTCAGCTGAAAACTGATGTAGTCTAGCCAGTTTCTGCAGAGAGGTATAAAGTTTTCAGTAAAAAGGAGATAAGATAACTGGAAAGTATCCAAGACCACGTGAAATGTGTTCAAGAGCCCCCAGAGGCCTCAAATATTCAGAAGTACATATTAGATGTCTGAGTTATCAAAAAGAGTATTGGGTTAAGGCTTTGGAGGAACTGTTGTCCAGCTGGTGTGCTCAGGGAACAGGAAACAGGGAGGATGCCATTCCAGGGCTCTTGTAATGAAGAAAGCCACATTTAAAGCTGCATTAAAATCAAGGGGAAAAATCAATAAAGGGAAAAAAAGGTAACATTGACTCATGGATTTGAAGAAAGATGATGCCAGGCAAGTCCATTAAGATTTAGACATTTTGCAAATGCTGCGCCTGTTAGCTCAAGATCAAATTCAGATTTATGCAGATATCTATCTGCAGATCTATCTATGTGCTCTGACTTCAGAAATGCCCCAGACATGCAGGTCAAATCACCATGAGTTCTGGTCCTGCATGGCCACTCATGAGTAGGGGTAAATGAAGTGAGACCCAGATCTCACTGAAATGCCTCATGGAGCACTGTGCAAAATCCTCAGCTGACAAATGTGCTGCGCATGAGAGGCTCAGATATAAATACTGTCACACATCTTGAAAAAAGGCAGAGAGATCATGTACTGAAGGGCACAATGACAAAGAGCAGAACAACAAGGTGGCAGGGAGGAGTCTGCCAGCAAAAAGCAAGTTTCAGTACTTGGCTGCACGATTATCTGTGGATACTTGCACATACACTCCTTTCATGGGATATATGCCACTACCACACTGACAGACCAAACAGCATAGGCACCAAATAAAGAACACAATGTATTGTCAAGCTTCATACTGGGATTTTCCTCTGTGCCTTTGTTTTAGAGATATTAAAGGAGAAGCAAACAGAAAGGTCCAGATTACAAAGACAGCATGCTGCTGATTGTCCTAAAAAGCCCCTACATAACTGGAAAAATAATTGCCAGTAGACTACACCTGGCCCAAGTCCAGCTGGCGGAGTGCTTGCCATGTCTGCAGAGAAGACTTGTGTTTTAGTTGAGACACTAGAGTTGGGGCTGATCTCCCGATAAACACAAATCTGAATAATCTGTTTGAGGATGTGGTTCAAGGAAGACAAGAGCAAATTACTGCACTTAGGCAGGAATGTCAGCTGCTCAAACATGAAATGGGGAATGACTAGACAACAGTCCTCCAGGGGCTGAAAATGGACATGAATCTGTTGTGGCCAACAGTATATGTTAGGAAAAAAGAAAGCTTCGCCCTGAGACCTCTACGTGGGGCTGTGCTCAGCAAGGGACACCAGGCAATCATCATTCTGTTATAGTTAACACCAACAGAAGCTGGTCTGATGGCTATATATATTTAGGACTTAAGGAAAGATGAGGAGCAGAAGCTTCAGAAGCCATAAAACCAAGAGCTATTAGCAGAGCTTGGAAAAACCTGATTTATTCTAGTCTGAGAAGATGGGGAAGATATAAAATCCTGCTGCAAAGAGGAAGGGAAGAAATTCATCTTCGTGGCCATGGTGGAAGGACAAGGAGCAATGAGGGGAGGGTTGCTCAGGAGGTTGCAGCCTCCCTCAGGAGATGGAATAGTGTCTCTGTCACTGGGACGTGTTGCACAAACACCTGTCAGCCGTGGATTAGCTGTAGTGGGAGATGCTTTGGACTCCTCGGGTTCCCTGCCAGCCCTGTTTCAATGCACATTTCTCTGCGTATGGGAGAATGCAAGAGCCAGATGGGATGTTTGGTTTAGCAGGTACAATTACACTGGCAGTTTCGCTGGTGTAGTCTTTTTTTGTTTCATCTTTGTCATGGTGGGAAGTGTTGAATTATTCATGTATTGCCTTGACCAGATTTGTTGCACGCACTGTGACCATATTTAGTCAAAATTCCAAACAAGCAATCACCTTTGGTAGTAATAATGGATATATACTAACCTAGTAAGATTTAACCAATAGCAATATGTTAATTATTTAAATCAATTATGTCATTCAAAAGTATATTTCTTTTCAACACTGTTCACTAAAAGCCTGAGGTAACACACATCTGGGCCTGAACATCAGTCCATACCCTAGCAATAAGCACAGAGAGAGATGGATCAGATCTTCTTTGAGCATACAGAGGAGAGAGCAAAAGGAAAACCCATGCGAACCTAGAGGACCCATTTTCACTCAGTGTTACTGCAGGTCTGTACAGACCTTCACCACTCCCCTGTTGCCTATACACCCCCATGAAACAAAGTGAAAGATGAGCATTTTTTTTAATTTACCTGCATACTGGTTTTGGAGCTGGCCCAGCTCCCGAGGGATTGCACTCCTGGAAGATGTAGTTACACAGCAGAGACTCAGCGGCCGGTTGGCAGAATGAACTCACCATTTTCAGTTCAGTCCAGGCAGTGTGCACAAGCAGTTCTTGGGTCTCCTCTGGGTCAGCATAGGAGGAGTTGAAGAAAACAAGAGCATTCTTCTCCAAGATAGCACTACACACCTCACCTCTGTATGTGCTGCAGTAGCCTGCATCACCCTTGTACAGCTTGCTGTCAAGGACAAGAGCATACACACACAGTAAACTCACGGCCCTAAACACCTGCAGGAGCAGGATGCCGAGGCTCTGTTTCTGAATGAAGTGGCATCTGTGAGGCTAACAGAGGGTGGAGGAGAGGGTAGATGGTTATAACCACCAAAACCAGCTAATACCATCCAAAAATGAAACTTCTGCAAGGAACCCCAGTGTGAGCGCTGGGCCCTCCTGGCAAGCTCCAGGGCGGAGGCTCTGGCTGAGGGTTGCTAGCATTATAAGCAGGCAAAAAGACTGAGTGATCATGCACAACCACAACCTAGCATGGCACCTCACCCTGCCCCAAGGCCTCAATGGGAAAAAGTTTTGTTTTCCTGCTTCCCTGCAGAAGAAATCAGCAGTGCTGCTTGCTGCACACCTGTGATAACTTAGGATTTTTTGCTCTCCTGACTAGCAACAGTTTAATTTTGGATGGACTCGATGAGCAGGAGCCAGGTGAGTCCCACTCAGCACATGCCAGGAAATTCTTCGCAAGATCAGACCAGCCAAGCTCCTGCATGCCCCTCCTCAGCTCCTGCACCCCTCCTGACCCTCCCTCTCTTCCACACACATTTAGGTGGGAGACAGAGGGGGGAGGAAGGGATAAGCCTCTGCAGTTTTCCTTCTGGGGCATTACTGCAGGGTCCATCCTCTCCTCTCTTCACCCCATCTCCCACTTTGCAAAATCCTGACGCAAAGCATGGGGCCAGAAATATGCTGCAGCAATAAAAACACAGCAGGGTTGGCCTCTTCACGGGCTGTTTATTTATCTTTCCTGTGTTTTTCACATCTAGCAGGAGATGTCTGTCATCCCTTCTTCCCTTCTTCCCCACAACCATCAAAAGGGAGCAGCAGGGTGAGGGCATGCACAGGTCAGCTCTGCTCCCAGCGGCTCCCACCGCTGCCCCACGGCAGCAAGGTCTGGGGGTGAGGATGTGCCCTCCGCTCAGGCAACCCATGGGATGCAGTGCCCTTGGTGCGGGGGGAAACCTGGGAAAACAGCCTCCCCTATGTGGGGGGGATGGCCGAATTGGGGAGGGAGGAGGGCTGGGTGCAGCTGTCCCTACTGCTTATTCGGCCAGTTTAACTGGGGTCAAGGAGTTCAATTCACAACATGCTAACCATTTGGAGTAGCCAGCAGAGCTATTTGTATCTTTGCCTTTTATTTCTTTCCCCTGCCCAAATAATCACCCATTGTCAACCCTGGGCATTCTTGCTGTTTTTCTTTGGAAAGCTGGAGGTACTTGGAGAAGGGATTATGCAGAATGCCCAGACTTCAGCTTTTCAGATGCCGCTCTCTGCAGATGACACTCTCTGGCCCTGGTTTAGCTGCACTACTTTGGGCTCAATGTCAATTTTTACTATTATTATTTTTTCCTTTATGTCACAATGGCTAAAAAATAAAGGAAAGTACTGATTCCTTGAGGTAATACCAAAATGGCAGTGATGCTATGACACCCTGCATCACCTCAGGCTCCACAGACACCCCTTCATGTGACAGAGGCACCCCCCAGCATGCTGCACTCATCCCACAGCCTGTGGCATCTCCCTGGCACAGAGCAGGTTTCCCCACAGCACCGTGCTGCCCCCAGCACCTTGCTAGAGCCATCCTTGGCATGGCAGGGGTCTCGTTCTTCACATTTTCCTGATGATACCCATTGTGTTTAATCTGAAAGGTGCATCCTTCCTGTGCCCCAAGAGACAAAGGAGGGCACAGGCGTGCATGGGGCAGCGGTGCTGCTGACTTCAGTAGGCTGCAGAAGTGGCCTGACAAGAGCCACCAGCACTAGTATTGTATTTCCTTGCTTTTTTAAAACCTGCAGGGAGACACAGACCATGCTGCAATGGAGAAGCAGCAACAACATTTTTCTCACAATGTCTTGCCACAGAAAGGGAATTTTGTGCAGCAAATGTTGAGAACAACTGCAGGACAGAAGGGCTTAGCATTTGATCACTGTTCCCATGTCTGTCACACCTACATGGGTGCAGGTGTAAGGCATAAGTCTGCCAACATCACCGTGTGGTCACTAAATCACTTAAAAACTTCCTGCATCAATCTTGCACCCTGTGACGGAGTCAAGGGGCTTTGCCGGGAGCCTGTGTCAGCAGAGTGGCAAAGCCATTTGCTCAGACTTTCTCAGGCTTTGCTCTTTGCTCTGAGGGCCGGTAGCTCACAGCCCTCCTCCCAAGCTAACCCTCTTGTTTTCCATCCAGACTGATCTGCCAGTGTAGCATGCAGAAATATGCTAGAACTCTAAAATGACAAAGCCAGCTAAATTGTTCAGTGCATGTCAGATCACATACAAGTGGCTTTACCCATCCATAACTCTCTGTTTGGAACAAATATCTAAACCTGTCTTGTCCTAATCCGGTGATCACTGAACCAAAATACTGGCTGTGTACAGATGGAGGTTAACTTGAAGTTAAGCTGTTGCCTGTAAATTTATAAGGTCAGTGAAGTTGTGGATGTGTAACTGTGAACAGAATTTACTCCAGAATTTTCTGCCCACTACTGTATTTTAAACACCCTTACTGATGTGTGATCCACTGCTTGCTTGATACAGATGCATCCTTATCTACCTGGCCCCAGTCCCCAGTTATGCCTGTATAAAGAAGCTCATTGTTCCTTTCAGGTGAACCTCACCTGCATGCTTGACATCCAGAAACCTGCTCCCTTCATTTAAGCAAAATTAACCAAATTCCCTTGGTTCATCATTCTTCTCCTCCCTGGCCCAGAGAAAACCCTCAGGCAGACACAGAAAGCCATTCTTACCTCCACTCTGCTGGGAGGCACCGGATCCAGGAATTGTGGTGAGCCAGGAGAAAGAAGAAATGGAAAAGACATCAGTGACACTTCATTGCCCCCTCTGAGACGTGGGAGTTTATATTTCCGTGCTAGGAAATCTGTCTGAAATCTGTAAGCTGTCTGAGAATTACACAGATAAATTCTGTCCTTATTTTGCACCTTCTTGTGGGGAAGAAGTGTTGGGCAACATTGGATGCCATACAGGGAGAGGGAGCAAGGAAGAGGAAGTGGATTATTGACTGCAGTTCTTGCTGATGTGGATTGTTGCACCTTAAACCCACACCTTTACCCTTATCCTTTGGGTCCTTCATAACTGGCAGGTAGCATCCTCTGTTTAAGCCACCCATGCACCCATTACTGCAGGCAGCAGCTGTAACAGGTGGGATAAACCACCTATTTCTGCTCCTGTTGAGGAGCAGTGCAGGCACACAGCCATGCCCTCGGCTTGCAGCACCATGGAGAGATGGGCTGCGCCAGCATGGGGAGGAGGCACTGAGCATCAGCCAGGGACCAGGACACCTCTGCCATGGGACCATCAGGAGCTGGGACAAGGCCACAGAAGGCTCCTGCTCACATCTGGGGGGCTGCTCCCCTCTTGCTGAGCACAGGCAGGCTGGAGGATGGCAGTGCAGTTTCTCCCACCAGCCTAAAGCACCTGGCCTCCCTACTGTATTTGCAGATCTGCTTCATGGGGCACAGCCTTGCCTGGGCTAAAAGAAGAAGTGGGGATCTGAAATATGGTACCAAGTGCTGAGTCTCTTATGGGGCAGAGCTTGCTGCTAGGTCTCAATGCCCAGTGTAAGAAAGGGCATGGTTATTTTCTCAACAGAGCAGAAGCTGAGGCACAGAGAGAGGGTCAGATGCATGCCTGGTTAACAGCAGGACCAGGCTGTTGGACATGGCTACCACCCAGCATCTGGACTCCCAGGTGATTCCTCTTTCCTCTTAATCCCCCCTGCCTGTCCCACGAGGGAAGGCACAAGCTGCCACCTTTCTCCTGGTGTGATAAATGTTGTCAGCTGTGTCAGACCATTGGTATTTCTCCTCTTTGGATCATCCTTTCCCCATTTGGGAGATGTCTCTGGGAGCAGAAGTTACCCCAGGCACAGCGGGGTACTGCTCCAACACGAACCTCCCCGCTTTCTGGATGCAACACCCTGAGAAGCCAAAGTGTCCATGAAAGCTATTTTCACTTTGCTGTTAGGTGATACCAACACTGGGTCATGGCCACAGCTTCCTCCGCATGGATGAACTTACCAAGTGTGCTTCTGGGACACAAAGTACAAGACAGCATAAAACATTCAGGAAATGACAGCTGTGCCAGTCTCCAAAGTGTAAAAATATATGAGGAAATAGCCTGGCGGGGGATGCACTTGTACTCAGATTTAGCCCCCTGCACACTATCAGCTCTCCAAGGATTTCCCTCTGCCTCCAGAGTACTTCACACCCCTTTCCTCTCCCCTAGCAGGGAAGCTAGGACTGTGATTGCAAGGGTAAAAAATTAACAACCCCTTCTTTCCCAGCATACCTGAAACACTGATGGTTGCTGCAGCTTTTGCGGCTCCAAAAGTTTTGCTGTGTTTGTTTGTGGCGAGGCAAGTGAACAGGCCAGGTCGGGTGACATAGACCTGCAGTTTGGAGTCAACCACTCTGTCCTTGATACTTTCCACTATAGACCCTGCAGAAACCTAAGAGAGTGAAAAGGCCAGTGCAGTAGTGGTTTCAACAAAGGCAAGCTAACAAACCAAGGAAAAATCTGAGACCTAGCCCCAAACATTTAAATTGGCAGATAAAGATGCAGCAAACAGATAGAAGTGGCAGAGAGCTAAAGCTGCTGGCATTATTTTGGTGCTTTCATAGCAGCTGACTTCACAGACAAAAGCAAATGTTAAAGACCTCTCCTATTTCACACTGCAGAAATACTTTTGCAATTAATTTTCAGTTCCAGAGGGCTGTAGTCTCAGTTTTGGTCATGTAATTGAGCTGGCTAAGTACTCCAGGACCTCTTCTAGTAGATTGTCTATTCATGCCTTAGCAAGCACAAGGGCACAAGGTGGCTTTGCCGACCCTGGCTGTAGAGAGGGAGAAAAGAAAATAGTTTGGAAATTGTTGGTTCTGGATTAATGCAACCACTGCCACACTTCCAAAGTACTCATGAGCAAGGCAAGTGCTCTGGCTCCAATGCTTTGGCAGATATCCGACATATTTTCTTAGCTCACACCTGGAAATATGGAAGGGGCTTCAGATGTGGTAATTTTGGTCAGCTCTTTTCCCAGGTCAGAAATTCCCAGGTAAATGAGCTTGGAGCCCGCTGATTTTGGCCAGTTGAGTCTGATTTTATCCTCAAGTCTTTCCTGCTCATATGGCATTAATTAAAGTAGGAGGACATGGTACACCAAGACTCTACCTTGCAATGGCAGTAGGAAGGAGCAGCATTACCTGCTCTACCTTTCATACTGATAGGAAGCATCAAGTGTAATTCAAGCAAAATGTGGTTGCCCATGGATCCCACTGGTGTGGCCTGGCCCTAAGCTTAGACAGTGAGTTATCTCCCTGGATGCTCCCCAACAAAGCACTCTACCTATGCATCTATCTGTGAGGTTAGAGAGATCAATCTGAGCTACCTGGAAGTTAGTAGAAACATGATTTCAATGGGATCTGTGTCTGCTCCCAAAGGTATTAAATGTAATAACTGAAAAAGCAAGAAGGGATGCATCAGTACTGTATCACATCTTCAGTAAACAGATTGGTTTCTCTCTGAAAAGAAAACACTGAAAATAGTGTATTTGTTTTGCCTCACCCAAGCTCAACTTGGAGTTGTGGTGAGGGAATGTGCATGGAAGAAATCACTAAATAACCAGACCAACACAGTTATTGTAAGTATTGCATCAGAGATGGGTAGTATGCCAGTCACTGTGCAAATGCTGGGACAGGGATATTTTTTGGCCTTATGCTGTGAAGTTCAGGTGGATGGGAGCTCAGGGGATATTTTTTCACAAGTTTCTCTTTTGTTACAGTGCTGGGCAGATTTATTTTTAGAATTTTTTTCGCCCCAGAAACCACTCAGCACTAAAGCACTGCTGGGACCTTCCTGGTGGAAAGGAGGAATTTCTTTACAGGTTGCCCCTGACTCCCAGCATTCGCCCAGATATGGCCACTCACCCTGAGCCGCTTGTGCTCATCCGGTCCTCTCTCCCTCCTTACCCCTCAGGCCTCGGAAGTACCTTGTCCTGTTAGCTCCCCTCCTGGCAGCACTGGACTGTGCCTGGTGAGCACAGACAGCCAGGATTGCTCCTCCCAGCTTGGGCCACGGGAGGAAAAGGGTGCTCAAGTAGCTGCAAGCAGTATGCATGGTCACATGCACGGTGGAAAATCACAGATGAAAGTGTCAGGTAGTTGTGCCTAGGACTTCCACACTGGCCAGCTGTTGTTTTCTCTTCTGGCAACCTCAAACCATTCCCTTGTGTTAATTGATTCCCTTCCCTTTTCAAATACATTCCCTGAGATTTTGTTTCCAGCAGGTCTTTTTTTAGCCTTTAAAACACCACCTCAGCCACCACCAAAGCAGACACCTCTTCACATCTTCATACCTGGCTCACTCATTCTTCTTTGCAGTGCAGAAAACTACAGTTTAAGCTTCATGATGTCCCGCGGTGCATAGCAGGAGGAAAAGGAATTGTGTTCCTGTTTAGGTAGGCAAGGCAGCTTCTGCACAGAGGAGTTTCCATCTTTCTCTTCCAAGGCAGCTCAATAACCTCAGCAGAGTCCCACTCTTTAAACCTCAGGACAATTACAGGTCGGCGTTCAGAGACGGTAATGCTGCAGGCATGTTGCATCTTCAAATGACTCACCATTGCTTGCTTGTGAGCCAGCCCTCAAATGCACACGCTCCAGTCCATCCACTTCCTGGCCTGACTTTCCCAGGCACGGGCTCTCGTCAAGGTCTCCTTGCCATACTTAAAATGAGGCAGTCTGGAGCACCACCCTCCTCGGACTGGGCTTTGCCTTGCAGACAGGAATGGGGCAGAGCAGATCTGACCAGCCAGGCTGTGGCCCGCGGAAGGGGCTGAGCATTGTCTCACACACAGCTCTTTGTGGGACCAACACACCAGTGGGAACTTGGCAGAGCATAGGTCTGTGCTCTGGAAGTACTCTGCCCTTGCCAGGGATCCCAGACCCCCCAAAAGTTTTCTTCCCCAATGGGGAAGAAGTCTTGAATGAACACCTGCTGTTGTATCAACATAATTATCAACAGAAACTACTGAGGACCCACGGGGCTCTGTGGAGGCTGATCTGCTCCCTTTGCTGTTCTCCCTAGCAACATCAAGGGAATGTAGAAAATTAGTCCTAATCAGACTGGAGGACACAATAAGGTTTAGAGGAGATAAGGAAGGCAAGACAGCCTACAGAGTAGCCCAGGCTCCTTAATAACATATTTTAATACATGGAAAGAGGGGATACAGACCAGGATGGAGATAGCCTCCTGAAGTAAGGAACTGGAGCAAGAGCATTTATTGGTCCTGTTGGACAAGCAAGCCCACAGGAATGGCCATGGCCCGCCGGTGGCCAGAGAACTTGGGGTGACTTGGGGTTGACAGGGGTTAGCAGAGGCAAATTGCCAGCCTGCACACAGCAGCTGCTCCACCTGCCTCCACAGCATCATGCCCTCAGGCACATCCTTAAAAAAGCTGTTGAAAGACCACAGAGAGTATAAAACATGTCCACCATAACTGGGTGAAGACTGGAGGAAACCCACAGCAGGCTCTGGCTGCAGAGCTGCTGTGACTGTGGTGCACCATTTACTCCCAGGGAGGCAATATTATGCATCAAGTGGCTCTTCAGTTTAGCTGGAGTGAAGGCATTGCAATAGCCTACACACGGACATGAAAGCCAGATGAATTCAAAGCAGACACCTATTTTAACTGGTCAAGATAATTAGACCACTAAACAATTTCCTGTGAGAAGCAGTGGATTTGCATCTTTTGGTGCCTGCCCCTGGAGGGTGTGCCTTTCTTGAGGATGTGCTTCTAGCCAGGAATAAATTGATGACATACTTCAGTGTGTCCCCTAGGTCAGTCTAGAAAATTTCAGATCTATTCATCTGCAAATACGCCGTGCCTATATGCTGTCCTACAAGTATTTTGCCTCAAGACAGTTTGCTCTACCATACTACCTCAGTTTGTATTATTTTGTCAAATAAGCAATTTTGCCATGTTATTGTTACCACGTTAGGAGAAGGGAGAGCAAAGGTGGCTGCAGAAACATTTAAACCTATGATGAAGTCCTAGAAACACTGGCTCAGAGGAAGGCTGTAAGCATCTAAAGCATCCTTCATCTCAGGCTTTCCAGACCCTAACAAATTAACCCATGAAACACCCTGGAGAAGGGGAAGAGTGTTTTGCAGAGGAGAAAACTGCAGCAGGGAGGCAAGGTGGGCTCAACTTGATTGCACAGCAAGGTGCTAAGTAAGGCAGGAATAGAAACCACAGGTGTTGGCTCCCAGCCCCACATTTTAATCCCTGAGCTGCACTTCCAGCTTCTAGCAGCCCTCTGGGGTCAAAAGCATGAAAAAAGAGGCACTTACAGCTTTCCCATTTTCCAGCCAGGTGACGGTGGGGATTGGAAGGCCAGTCGCCGTGCACCGCAACGTCACCACAGACCCAAAGGTGATATTTTGGGATTCGGGAGCTTTCAGGATTCTGGCAAAAACTGCAGAAGACAAAGGTACTAGTTGAACAGCGATGTAAAGCTGAAGCTGTGCTTGCATGGGGATGCTTCCTCCCCAATGGGTCTTGAAATAAGCCACGGCCCCACGAACAAAAGCGGAGCATAGCATGTGCTTCCCAGCAAACAACAGTCTTGGGAGACAGACAAGGAGGAGAAAAAAATTATTGGCATGGTTATGTTCTGCACCTTACAGACCAAAATTTTACCTATGGAAATTTCTACACCATCTGAATTCGATGCCTCAGAGGAGGTAACGTGCAAAAAAACCAAGGGCAAACCCATTGGTAGCGTGCAGATGGGACAGCTTACAGCAAATATGTGGCAAGTTACCATGCTGCCCTGCCAAGTGACCTCATGCAAAACTTGTTCAAAACCATCAAGGGAGACCACCAGTGTCGTCACATACCATGAAGGTTAAAGGTCAGATAAGCTCCTCAGTGTGATCACAGTGATTAGGACTTACCATGGAGAGACGCAAACCCCAGCATTTTCCCTGTCACAACAACATGCCCTAAGGGGAGAGAATCTAACCTTGAGTTACGGGGAAATGGCCAGCAAAGACTTTGGGAAGCTGAGACTGCAGGGGGAAAGTGAGTTTTTAAAGTGACTTTTCATCTCTACTGCTCTTGCTTCTTTTGTGGCAATATGGTTACTGGGCAGTTTGAAGATAAACAAGATAAGCACCTCCCTGCCCCAAGGATTTTTTTTTTTTTTTTTTTTTTTTGGGGGGTGAAAGGTTTTTTTTTTTTTTTTTTTTTTGTGCGTGTGTGAGAAGAAGAACTGAAGTATTTTTGCTGAAAAATTATTTCGATGCAGAAACACAAGTCTGATGGCCTTCACAAGCTGTATTTCAGCTGCTGTACTTGGACCACATAGAGGAAAACAGAGAAGAAAGACATTTCCCATGTGGAACATTTGAGTTTTGACCCAAAAATTTTAATGGAGATGCCTGAATGTCTGTGAAGAAGCAGGCTGAATAGTTTTATGCCATTTTTTACTCTAATTTCTCATGCTTAGTGAGTAACGCTCACTCTCTGCCTTCTGGGCTGCACAGCAACAACTAAAAGTCTCCATCAGAAATTTTAGTAAGCAGGAGATTTTCTCCTGGAGTTCTCAAACAAGCCTGATATCTTGTTTGCCACTTTTGCTATCTGTGTGTTTCCCCTTACCAACATATCTGATCATGTCACAGTCTTCTGTGTCTCTGTTTGCCTGACACACCTCTTGGCACTGGCCACTGGCTGGTCCCAGATGGAGACCTCCAATGCAGAGCAAGTAGACCAGTGAGGGCTCCTTCAGAAACTGAACATCTGTCCCTGCCATTTGGGATGGGAAGGCTTTGTCTGCAAAATTTCAGTTGGAATAAAAAAATTATATGCTTTTTTTATAGTCCTTCCACCCAGTCTTGGCCTGGGAAGGCGCTGAGATTTGTGTTAACAAAGAGCCTAAAATCAGCTTTTGCTCATTGACAGGCATCGCTAGGAGTACATTTCAGCGTAGAAACTTTTTTGTCTTCAGAGCACAGCCATTCAACAGGCTCCTGGGCAGGGGGTTTTAGGAAATTAAATTTAATGTCAGTGAAGTAAAAAGTGTGGGAGGATATGTATTATATTCAGCTTCTTAATTTCTCTACAGTCTCCAAGCAGTCCCTACTGTCAATGCTCAGTGCCACTTGCTTAAAGTCAAAGCAGAGCAGCATCAGGGCTGCTGCATCCCCCCTGCCCCTTGGCGAGGCAGCAGGTATGAAGCTCCACCACTAACAAGGAAAGCTGCAGTAGCTGGCCAGGGACTTTCCTGACAAATAATAAGCAAAATGAAACCTTTGCCTGAAGTTTCACTTCAGGCCATTAACACCAGATGGTTACAAATTCAGCCCCAAGCACGCCAGGCCAAGTTCATAATTACTTTTATGCTTCATTCAGAGAAATACTAAACTTTTGGGCCTGTCCCCTGGCAGCACATGGCTCCCGCTGAAGCTAGCACATTAGCTCCCAGAGCCAGAATACAGCCCTTAGTGCTTTTCTCATGCTGCTGTTGGTTTCTCAGTGTGCTGCTGGGACCCTGCCTGGCTGACAACTCTGCTGCTCAGATCCTGCCTAGCTTAGTTAATACCACAATGATGAATTAACAGCACCCCATTAGGCAGTGCCAGACACAGGCATGTATGCCCTCCTCTGTACCGGCTGCTCTCCCAAAATTTGCGAGGAGCTGTCATCCAGGAGAAAAAAGGTGCACTGCAAAAATGATGGCAATTGCACAGGAGGGGAGCAAAGCCATAGCGAGCACAGTGGCTGGTCTGGATCACACATGGTGCCTGCAGGGAGGCAGAAAGCTGCATCCTGCTCTTTGGGGTCCTGCTGCCAGCACTGATCCTGTACAGCACTTGTTTTAGTAGCCCAGCACACTGATGGCATGAGCGCTTCTCTGTCAGCATAGGGAAGGCAAAGGGTCAGGCCATTCAAGCCTAAAACACCAAATACAGGAGTAAAAAATCCAGCCACAGCTGCTAAGCATACACGTTTCTTGTGGATAGTACTGCAGATATATTATCTAGCACAGGGAGGGATGGCTAAATAAAACTGGGCCTATAAGGAAATAAGCTGATTTCCAAAGTGTGGAAGAATGGAAGTTCCTGCTATCCCCAGTGCCCTGTGTGCATATCCAGGACTTTGAAAATTGAAGTTACAGATTTAATACTTCAACATTTCAAGTATTTATATGTGCATGCTTTTAAAAAGTATTTTACTTAAAGTTTAGCTCTTTAACTTAAGTACTTAGCTCTAGATGCTGTGAATGGAATAACTGGGCTTTTTTACATTATTTTATTTTTAAGTGAGAAATTCCCTGGGGCAAGGGCTGGACTCCTCAGGTCCCAACAGGCTTTGGAGCACCGCTGACTGGCACACCCAGGGACACATTTTCCAAAGGGCTCTTCATCACTTTGGGAACCAACATTTAAAAGAATATCATCAGCTATTTCTCAGCCCCATCATCTATGGGTGGATGATGGATGCACTACTGCTGCCGACATACTCGGGTGCAGTGCGAAAGCCAGGATGAGTTGTGTGAGAGCAGCCAGCGTCACCTGCCACCAGTGCAAAGTGGGGCAAGACCACCAGGATAAGCTCAAGGTTCATTTTGACAACCGCGTCAGCAAGGAAATCTGTCCTGTAGCTAAACAGAGGAACCCAGACCCCAAAACTATGACTTTTTTCCCCCCACTGTATTACACAAAGAAAGAAAAGAGGCAAAAGTGAGGAAGAAATGGTGACCCTCGTGGTGCCAACCTAAGCAACTGGTGGGTAGAGGCAGGTGAAAGGCAGGAAGAGGAAGGAACAGGAAGTGGCAATAAATGTTTGTAAAATTCACATTATTTGGTGAGCTCAGGACATAGCTTTGTTTTCATTTTGCCTCAGAGTGAAAATTCCCAACAATCAAGCAATTTTTAACACCTCCGTTACTTGCTGTCCTTTACCAGATCCTCTCGAAAGTGGATTTTGACAGGACCTTTGCCTGTTTAGGTGCATCACCACAAGGTTAAGAATATTCACATCAAGACCCCCCAGGCTCTCAGCATGGGATTTACCCAAAGGCATGCCAAAAAGCAGTTAGGGAAAGCGGGCAAAGAGGGCTTCATTTGTTTATTTGTGGAAAATAAAACAGAGGAGCTGGAAATTAAATCCAGCCAGCTAAAAGCCAAGCCAGCACGTTAAGTTTCACTCCCAAGCCCCCTAATAAATGTCCTTTCTTTTACAGCCCTGCTAAATGATGTGCTGTGCACTACAGGGCTTGCTAGGAGGTATCTGCACCGCAGCCAGCTGCTCTCATTTCTGAGAATTAGGTAACATCATCCAGTCCAAACAGTAGGGCTTTAACTCAGTCACGAAATTTTTGTACTATAAAAAGATTAAAGCAGGGTCCCCCCCCCAAGCCCCTGGTTTGAACGGCTAACTCTTTCCAGGTGACTTTGTTTTCCCATTGCCTTTGACTGAGCTGTGTTTCATTTCCAGTGTTTGGGGCCCGATCCTGCAGTCCTGGCAGATGCCTGCCCTTTGACTGGGTAAGGCCTGTTTTTTTGGTAAAGCAGGCTAGATTGGGCCATTCGCATCCAGGCAGCAGCCTAGGTGGCCTGGGGTCATGCTCCTGCTTTCAGAAAAGGGCAAAATGATGCCCAGAGCTCACGGGGAACCCTTCTGTGCACAGCCCTGCTGCAGGAAGACGTCCCTTTTAGCGAGGGTTTCATGAGTTGTAACACTGGCTTTGACGCACCAGGCCAAGCCAAGCACTGATTTTGAGGTGTGGGGTGGTTTTTTTTTTTCCAGACCCTCCACTGGATTTGGTGAACCTCAGCTTTCAGAGAACATGAGCAATGTTTGCCAATGTATGTGAATTGTCAACATCCCGCCTGTCAACACCCATGCATATTCATGTCCAAGCATACCTGATAGTCCAAACTGATGTAAGGCCACTGAGAGCTAAACTTGTGTTAGCAACCACCTGCTGACAGTGGGTGCACGCTTCCTTCCCACCGCAGTCTGAGCCTGGTCTAACATGTGAGCCAGACCTGGCGTATCCATACTGCCAGCTGTGATATCTCAACCTGCTCCACTTTGTTTTGTTTCTATCATGAAAAATAGCTTTTTGGGTGATTACAGCCAGGTCTTAACGCTGAAATGTTTTTCCAGCTAAGCTGCAAAAAACAGTTGGTAAAGGGAACTCCTATGTGCAAAAGGCCTTTTCTGCTGGTACAGCTGGTTCCGTGCTGAGAACCAATGTGTCTACCTTGCTGGGTGAATTGGTAAGTTACACATTGCCTCAGAAACTTTCCTGATATAAATACCCTGGCAAAGCCTTTGCACTGCATACTATTCATGTGTAAGCATTTAGGAGCTAAACTGCAAGGCTTTTTTTTGTTCACATTTGCCAATATTCCTGTAGCTCTTTTGTACCTGAAGCGTGACAGATTGAAATGGCTCCTTCTCTACAGAGGATTTCTCTGGGCTTGGGCTTTCCTTACTAATCCATAAAAAATCATTTATGCTTGCCACCTATATGCTCTGAAGAACCATAAACTTGTGCCAATTTGTTTGCAGTCTTTTGCCAGTGAGAAGTCCAGTCATCTAAATCCCCATTCAGGTTCATTCCTTTCACATCCATTCACTCTTCCTGACAAGTCTAAACCAGACAGTCAAGGAGAGGTAACAAGCAGAGGGGCTACCATTTCCTTCCTACTGGTGAGAGATGAGGGGAGGTCTGACAAATACATTTATAAGTACATAGAAAGCCGGACCATTTGTGTTTTCTGACATTTCAAATTAATCCATGTAAAATCCCAACAATTCTTGAAATACCAGGGCTGAAAACAGGCTGCACGTCACGCTTCTGGATCAGCGGTCGCAGAGAGCGCCATGCTGAGCTGTGTGCAGCAGCTAATTGCATGCCAAGAGCCAAGGCTGAACAAGCGAGGTACAGTCTCCGCAGCTGACATGGCGGGACTGAATCCCAGCTCAGAGAACAAACAAATTCTTCAGTAAGCATGGTCAGCAACTCCTCTCGCAGTGGCAGCAATGGGCTCTCGCATGGCTCACCACACACCTCCATATGGGAACAGCTCACGTTGTACCTTTGCCACTGCTCAAGGCGTGCTGCCACCTTCCTACTCCCTTCCAAAACTGCTGGGTTAATAATTAAATCCCAGGATAACTGCAAGGTCAGTTTTGCTTTGATGTCTGAGTATTTCTTATCAAAACTGCAACATTTATCTTTTTGCAAGCCTACCAAGTAATCACAAAGAGGAGCAAAATGCCACAGGCAAAGCTGATATGAGACACTTCCACTTATCTCTATCAAATTGCTTACCTAATTTTGTTTAATCCCTGTCCAAACATGCTTATTGCCAGAGAACCACACATATACAGATTATCAAAAGAATAAGAAATGCACATAACCACTGTATTATTTCTCAAGGAGCAGCACTATTAGGTGTGGGACCCAAAAGAGTAAGCTGCAAAAGCACTGTAAGCAAGCAGTACTTCATCATCCGCCTGCCCCTTACCTTGTTATCGTGGTAATCTGGGAGGAGAACCCCCCAATGCATTTGAAATATCAGCATTTTGTACAAAATCTCAAAATCTCCAAGCTCTTCTGGCTCCTGATACATGATTTGGGAGGTTTGAGGCTTGCAGTAGCTCTAACACCTCACGCAGCACAGGCCAGACAGCACAGCAATACACGCAACCTGGAGCCTGAGGCTGTGAGAAGGACAGCAGGGACAATTCAAGATCTGTGTGGAAGGGAGATGGAGGAAACCACAACATCTCCAT